TGTGGGGTTTAATACCTAGGTGATGGGTTGATAGATGCAGCAAACCACCATGGCACACATTTACCTATGTAACAAACCTGCACATCCGCACATGTATCCTGAATCTTAAAATTAAATTAAATTTTAAAAAATAAAGAGGTCTATTTCACATTCAGTTTTCACCATATTGCACTGTTGTTTACCTCTCACAAGCCTCAGACCATAGGATATGAGAAAAATTAGCCCTTATTAGGAGAACCACACTACTATTTAGGGAAGACCAGAGGATAGTATTGCAAAAGGGAAGGTAGATGGGGTATGAGGCTATTAGATACATAGTATGCTAGTATGCACTGGATAATAATTGTGGAAAGGATGAAGAGAGGAAGGAGAAGGAGAGTCAGAACCAAATGAAAATATAGAGTCACTGATTACATATTATATTTCAGTAAGAAAATGGTAATAAATGTCCTTTACGTGAGCAGCCTTATAAACTCTTATAAGGTGCTTAGAAGAGTGTCTGGCATAGAGTATTCACTATATATGTTTGTTAAATACGTAAATGTTCAGCTGGGAAACTTACTAGTTGGAGATTTATGTGTTTAATTTTGACCTAAGGTTTCTATGTCTTCATCGGGAAAAGGGAGGTGGCAGCTTATACACTGAAAAATTGTGGTTAAATTTATTTTCATATATTTATGGTGGGAGTGCAAATTGGAACCAGCCTTTTGAAAAACAATTTGTCTCTATGGATAAAAATCTTTACTTTTAAAATTGAAAAACTACAATTAAACCAATTTCTAAAACTTCCAAAGTAATCCAATACATTGTTGTAGTCAAGAGATGGGTATTTGTGCATTATTAAAGTCGTTGTGAAAAGATTTATACAGGCATACCTCATTTGATTGCAAATCACTTTATTGTGCTTCACAGATTTTACATTTTTTACAAATTGAAAGTTTGTGGGAACCCTGCATCAAGCAAGTCTATTAGTGCTGTTTTTCCAACAACATGTGCTCACTTCCTGTCTCTGTGCCACATCTTGGTAATTCTCACAATATTGTAAACGTTTTCATTATTATTATATCTGTTTTGGTGATGTGTGATAAGTGTTCTTTGATGCTACTATTATACTTGTTTTGGGGTGCCACAAACTGGGCCTATATAAGACAGCAAACTTAACCAACACATGTATGTGCTCTGACTGCTCCACCAACCAGCTATTCCTCCATCTCTCTCACTCTCCTTTGGCCTCCCTATTCCTTGAGACATAGTAGTATTGAATTTAGGCCAATTAATGATCCTACAATGTCCGCTAAGTGTTCAAGTGAAAGGAAGAGTCGCACTTTAAATCAAAAGCTAGAAATGATTAAGATTAGTGAGGAAGATATGTCAAAAGTTGAGACAGGCCAAAAGCTAGACCTCTTGAGCCAAACAGCTAGCCAAGTTGTGAATGCAAATGAAAAGCTCTTGAAGGAAATTAAAAGTACTACTCCAATAAAAACACAAATGATAAGTGAAACAGTCTTATTGCTGAGAAAGTTTTAGTGGTCTGAATAGAAGATCAAACCAGAAACAACATTCTCTAAACCAAAGCCTAGAGCAAGACCCTAACTCTTCAATTCTATCAAAGCTGAGAGAGGTGAGGAAGCTACAGAAGAAAAGTTTAAAGCTAGCAGAGTTTGGTTCACAAGGTTTAAAGAAAGAAGCTGTCTCCATAACATGAAAGTGCAAGGTGAAGCAGCATGTGCTGATGGAGAAGTTGTAGCAAGTTATCCAGAAGATCTAACTAAGATAATTGATGAGAGTGGCTACACCAAATAAAAGATTTTCAGTTAAGAAGAAATAGCCTGATATTGAAAGAAGATGCCATCTAGGACTTTCATGGCTAGAGAGGAAAAATTAATGCCCAGCTTCAAAACTTCAAGAATCTGGTTAACTCTTTAGGGTCTAATGCAACTCATGTCTTTACATTGAAGCCAATGCTCATGTACCATTCTTAAATCTTAGAGCCCTTAAGAATTATGCTAAATTACATGATCAAGAAATAACCATAGAAACAGTCACCCAGCAGCCCTCACTGCTGCTCTGTCTATGGAATACTCATTCTTTTACTCCTTTACTTTCTTAATAAATTTGCATTCTCTTTAAAAAGAAAGAAGGAGCTAAATCTACTTTGCCTGTGCTCTAGAAATGAAATAACAAAGCTGGATGATAGCATATCTGTTTACACCATGGCTTATGAACATTTTAAGCCCACTGTTGAGGCCTACTGCCAAGAAAAAAAGATTCCTTTCAAAATATTACTGCTCACTGACAATGCATCTGATCACCCAAAAGCACTGATGAAGACGTATAAGGAGATTAATGTTTTCATGCCTGCCAACATAACATCTACTCTGTAACCCATGGATCAAGGAGTAATTCTGACTTTTGAAGTCTTATTATTTAAGAAATACATTTCATAAGGCTATAGTTGCCATAGACAGTGATTTGTATGATAGATCTGGGCAAAGTAAATTGAAAACCTGGAAAGGATTCATTGTTCTAGATGCCATTAAGAACATTCATGATTCCATGGAAGGAGGTCAAAATGTCAACATTAACAGGAGTTTGGAAGAATTTGATTCCATCTCTCATGGATGACTTTGAGAGGTTCAAGACTTCAGTGGAGCAAGTCACTGCAGATGTGGTAGAAAAAGCAAGAGAACTAGAATTAGAAGTAGAGCCTGACGATGTGACTGCATTGCTGTAATCTCATGATAAACCTGAATGGATAAGGAGTTGCTTCTTATGGATGGGCAAAGAAATTGGTGTGGCATGTACTCCTGGTGAAGATACCATGAACATTGTTGAAATGACAGCAAGGGATTTAGAATACTACATAAAATTAGTTTATAAAGCAACAGCAGGGTTTGAGAGGACCAAATCTAATTTTGAAAGAAGTTCTACTAGGGGTAACATGTTACCAAACAGCATTGCAGGCTACAGAAAAATCTTTCATCAAAACAATAGTCAATTGATGTGGCAAACTTCATTATTCTTTTATTTTAAGAAATTGCCACAGCCACCCAAACCTTCAACAACCACCACCTTGATCAGTCAGCCACCATCCATGTTGAGGTAAAACCCTTCATCAACAAGAGCATTATGACTCACTGAAGGTGCAGATGATTGTTAGCATTTTTCTACAATAAAGTATTGTTAATTAAGGTATGTATGGCATTTAAGACATGATGCTATCACACACTTAACAGACTACAGTATAGTGTAAGCATAACTTTTATGCACTGCAGAACTTAAGAAAAATTGTGTGACTTGCTTTATTGCAGTATGTGCATTACTGTGGTGGTTTGGAACCAAACTTGCATTGTTTCCAAGGTATACCTTCAACAACAAAAAGACAAAACCAACAAAAGAGAAAATTTTAATTCAATTATGGTACATCCACTCAGAAGAATATTCCGCAATCATTAAAAATGATAGTAGGCCAGGCAGGGGGGCTCACGCCTGTAATCCCAGCACTTCGGGAGGCCGAGGCAGGCAGATCACAAGGTCAAGAGATCGAGACCATCCTGGCCAACATGGTGAAACCCTGTCTCTACTAAAAATACAAAAATTAGCTGGGCGTGGTGGCACATGCCTGTAGTCCCAGCTACTCGGAAGGCTGAGGCAGGAGAATTGCTTGAACCCAGGAGGCGGAGGTTGCAGTGAGCCGAGATTGCGCCACGGCACTCCAGTCTGGCGACAGAGCGAGACTCCATCTCAAAAACAAAAGAAGATAGTAAAGGTAATACTGAAACATGGATAAAATTCTTATGCTGTAACCAGATAGTAAACTATTAATATATGTATAGCATGATGTATCAATCAGGGCTCTCCAGATACATAGAACCTATAGAAGATATAGCTATATATTGATATATAGATATATATAGAAAGGAATACATATATATGATTTATGCATATGAAGAGTTATATATAAATAGAATATAAACATCCTATAGAAGTTTTATATTCATAAATCCTATAAATAAGAGAGAGAGATATAGATAAAGGCATTTATTATAATGTATTATCTCACATAATAGGAAGGCTGAGAAGTCCCATAATCTATCATCTGTAAGCTGGAGACCCAGGAAAGTCAGTGGTGTAATTTGAAGACCTGAGAGCCAGAGAGCTGATGGTGTAGATTCCAGTCCAAGTCTGAAGTTCTGAGAACGAGGAGCAGCAAGGGGAAGGGAAGGTTGATGTGGTAGCTGAAGCAGTCGGGAAGAATTAATTCAAGCTTCCTTCAACTTTTTGTTCTATTCAGGCCTTCAGCAGACTAGATGATACCCACTTACACTGGAAAGAGCCATCTGCTTTACATTTTCTTAAACCATACTTAATATTCAAATTAAAATCATAACAAAGTCATAATTCTGCCTAACATAATACAACTATCCTGCATACAACCAAAAATGCATTAGCCCCTTCCCCAGAAAAGGGGAAGAAGGTAAAGCACTTGAGTGAAGTTTACTCTTCCCCTTGATTTCCCTGAACTAAAATACTCTGATATAAAATTAACAGTACTTAAACGCTATGACATAGAGTTAATACATGTTACATTACATGATAAGGGAATAAGAGAGGAAAGGAAACAAAGACATTTGCTTAGGTAGTTGCATAGACACAAATGTATTCATAACAAACTAAGAAATATTTATGACAATTAGCCCTTGTTTTTGTAACTGGTCACATGGTCATAGCTGGCATTTATAATTACCTTCATCTACCATCCATTCCATATTTATTTTGCCTTCAGTAAGCACCTCAGTTGGTCGTGGTTCTTTACTTGATGGAATGACCCAAACCTTTATTCCTAAGGGGTCTGGGTCATTAGTAGTCTGGCCTGGATTGAACTGTTGTTGTTTCAAAAATTCAAATTGTTGAATTTTCTATTGACCTTAATGACAGGGCATGGTAATACCAAAAGATGCCTAAAGGATCTCCTGTATTCCAAACATACTCTTCCTTACCTCCATTGTAAAGTAGTAGTCCAATTCCTCCTTAATAGTCAGGATCAGTCACCCCAGCCAGCACCACAACTCTTCTTTGCCTGTAGATTCAGAGGAATGAGGAGCCTAAAGTGGCTGGGAAGCAGTCTTAACTTACAGTTCAATGGAATCACTGTTTTGTCTCCTAGTGAAAGGGGTCCCCTCATTGGAACTAAGACCTTCAACCAGCAGAGCATGAAGTCATAGGAACAGGAAACAAAGTTTTACTAGTAGATCACTAGGGGTAATTAGTAATAGTGTCACTCCCATTTTCACCCCTTTATTACTGAACCCTTGAATCCTGGCTATGGGAGAAACACCACCATATATTGGGTGCTGATTCAAAGCATGTACAGCTTTGTGGAGGACCTTATCCCAGTCCTGCAAGATATCACCACCTAGTTGCCAACGTAACTAAGCTTCAAAAGACCATTCCTCAGGTCTATCAAGCCAGGTGCTTCAGGATGGTGCAAAACATGGTAAGATTAGTGAATTCCATAAGCATGGGCCCATTGCCGCACTTTTTTGCTGTGAAGTGAGTTGCTTGATCAGAAGCAATGCTGTGTAAAATATAGGACAGTGGACAGAGCATTGTGTAAGTCCACAGATGGTAGTTTTGGCAGAAGCATGACACTCATGGAAGGCAAATCCATATCCAGAGTAAGTGACTATTTCAGTAAGAAGAAAAACTGCTTCTTCCATTATGGAAGCTGTCCAGTGTAAAGAATCTGTCATCAGGTACCTAGCTGATCACCTTGGGCAATGCTGCCATATCAGGGATTTAGTGTTCATCACAGCTGATGGCAGATTAGGCACACAGCCATGGCCATAGGCATGTCAGCCTTGGTGTGTAGCAATCCATGTTGCTAAGCCCATGTATAACTTCCATCCCTGCCTCCATAGCCACTTTGTTAATGATCCCACTGAGTGATGACATGGGTGGTTGGAGAAAGACGCTAACTGGTATTCACAGAATGGGTCACCCTCTCCATTTGATTATTAAAATTTTCCTCTGCTAGGGTCAGCTATTGTTGAACATTCATACAGGACACAAATATCTTCATTTAGTTTTTCATTCAGAGAGGACTACCCACAGACCTCTTCCCAAAATATCCTTGTCATCAATTTCCCAATTATGTTCCTTCCAAGTCCCCAACCATAGAGCCACATCATTGGCCACAGCCCAATAATCAATATATAATTACACATCTGGACAATTCCTTTCAGTCAAAGTGAACAACCATGTGCACCGCTCAAAGTTCTGCTCACTGGTAGGCTTTCCCTTCACCACTATCCTTCATTGATAACCCAAACAAGGGCATAGTGCTGCAGCTGTCTACTTTCAGGTGTTGCCTGCATATTATACAGAACCATCTGTACACTAGGCCTGAGTCTTCTCTTCCTCTGTTAACTAATTGTAGGTAACTGCCCATGAGGCCTTAAGTGCAGGCTAGGAGAGAGAAGGCAATGTAACAGGAGAGGGGACCATGGGCATTTAGACCACTTCTTCATGTACCTTACTGTTTATTAGGGGCCTGCTCAGGTCCAATCACATATATACCACATCTATTTGATAATAAGTGCTCTGCTGTGTGTGTCCAACTTTATGGCTCAGTGGGTCAGACAGCAACCAGTTTGTGATGAACACCTCAGGTCACATGGTAACTTGGTGGCCCATCATTAAGCATTTAGCCTCTAAGGCCCAGTAGCAGGTCAGGAGCTGTTTCTCAATAAGAGAGTAGTTATCTGTGGAGGGTGACAGGACTTTGCTCCAAAACCCTATGCCTGCATGGTGATTCACCTATAGAGATCTACCAAAGTCTCCAAACAGCATCCCTATCTGTCACTGACCCTTCAAGCACCATTAGATCCACTGGATCATATGGCCCAAACGGCAGGGCAGCTTACATAGCAGCCTGGACCTGTTGCGGAGCCTTCTCTTATTCTGGGTCCTACTCAAAACAAGTAGCTTTTGGGGTCACTGGGTAAATGGGCCAGAGTAACATACCCAAATAAGGAATATGTTGCCTCTAAAATTCAAAATGGTCTACAAGGCATTGTGCCTATTTTCTGGTTGCAGGAGGAGCCAAATGCAGTAACTTATCCTTCATTTTAGAAGGGATATCTTGACCCCACACCACTGAACCCCTAGAGATTTTACTAATGTAGAAGGCCCCTGAATTTTTGTCAGATTTATTTCCCACCTCCTGGCACAAAAGAAGTCTTACTGCTAAGCCTAAAGTAATTGCTACTTCTCACCCACTAGTTCCAATTAGCACAATATCATCAATGTGATGGACCAGTTTGATATCTTATGGAAGGGAAAAGCAATCAAGATCTCTGTGAACTAAATTACGACATAGGCAAAAATAACAGATGCTAGTTAAGGCGGTGGAGAAAAGGGAACACATACACACTGTTGGTGGTAATGTAAATTAGTTCAGCCACTGTACAAAGCAGTTTGGAGATTTCTCAAAGAACTTAGAACCACCATTCGACCCAGTAAATCCCTTTACAAGGTATATACCCAAAGGAAAATAAAGCATTCTACCAAAAAGACATATGCATGCATATGTTCATTGCAGCACTATTCACAAAAGCGAAGACATAGAATCAACCTGGATGCCCATCAATGGTGGATGCATAAAGAAAATGTGGCACATATACACCATGAAATACTACACAGCCATTAAAAAAATAAAATCCTTTCCTTTGCAGGAACATGGATGCAGCTGGAGGCCATTATCCTAAGTAAATTAATGTACAAACAGAAAAATACTGCATATTCTCACTTATAAGTGGGAGCTAAACATTTGGTACACATGGACACAAAAATGAGAACAATAGATACTAAGGATATAAGAGGTGGAAGCAGAAAAGGGGACAAAGGTTGGGTACTATGCTCACTATCTGGGTGATGGGTTCATTCACATTCATACCCCAAACCTCAGCATCACATAATATGCCCATGTAACAAACCTGCACATGTACCCCCGAATCTAAAAGAAACGTTGAAATTATTTGAAAAATAATAATTAATTAATTAAGTTTTGACATAGGACTGAAGAGATGATATGCCTGTGAGGTATAATAGTGAAGGTATATTGCTGGCCTTGCCAGCTGAAGGCACACAGTTTCTGGTGAGCCTTATGGGCAAGGATGGAAAAAAGAATTTTTCAGGTTGATAGTTGCATATCAAGTATCAGGGGATGTGTTAATTTGTTCAAGCAATGAAACCACATCTAGTAGAGCAACTGCAATTGGAGTCACCACCTGATCAAGCCTATGACAATCCACTGCCATTCTCCAAAATACACCTGCTTTCTGCATGGGCCAAATAAGCAAGGTGAATGTAGATGTGGTGGCAGCCACCAACCTTGAATCCTTTAAGTCCCTGATGGTGGCACTTATCTCAGCAATCCCTCCAGGACTGTAGTATTGCTTTTGTTTTACTAATTTCCTAGGTAGATACAGTTCAAGTGGCTTCATACTTGGCTGTTTCCACCATAGTAGTACCCAGTCTGTAAGCTCAGGGAACCGAAATGGAGATTTTTCCAGCTGCTGAGCATGTCTATTCCAATTACGCATTCCAGAACTGGGCAAATAAACACAAGACGAGTTCAGGGACCTACTGGACCTACTGTAAGATGGACATGAGCTAAAACTCCACTGATCACCTGACCTCCATAAGCCCCTATCTGACTGGTAGGCCACAGTGACATTTTGGGTCTCCTGGAATTGGTGTCAGTTCAGAACCAGTGTTCGGTAGTTCCTGGAAGATCTGATTATTTCCTTTTCCTCAATATACAGCTATTGTGGTAAAAGGCCATGGGTCACTTTGCGGAAGCTGGGAGAAAGATTAATAGTACAAATTTCTGATAGTGTACAAGGCCCTTCCTCAAACGGACCACACCTTTCCTTCATTCAAGTGGTTCTGGTTCTACAAACTGGCTCAAGTCTGGGAACTGATGAAGGAGCCATCACTCTCTGTTTTTATTATTAAAATTAGACTTTCGTTCAATTGACCCAGAACTATCCTGCTTATACAGATCAAGTAAGAATTTAGTACCATTCTTATCTATTTTGCTTCTAGAAAAACCATGATTAACTAACCAAAACCATTGGTCTGGGTGAGTCACGTTATTTTGCTGCTGTGACTCTGCTGTCCATTATGGTAGCCATGCTCACCTTTGGCAACTGAGTCCTGCTACTTGGCCCCTGCTACCTGGCACCCAATTATTCCTATTGCATTTAGGTTTCCAAATTCAGTAGCTACAGTTTTCACTGTAAGGTCTGGCCTACAAAGAAGAGTGATCACAGAGCTCTTTAAAGATGTCAGCACTCCCCTCATACATTTATTTCTCACAGTATTGGTGAAAGGTATGTCTTCTGGACCCTCCCAGTGTGGGTGAGTAGGTCTTAAATGATAAATTCACTCTCATATTTCAATCTCCCTAAGACTTTTAATTCCTTTCTGTACATTAAACCAAGGCAGATCTGGCATTTCCAGTTCTCTCACTGTGGGTCACCTTTTTGTCCATGTGTCAGCCAATCAAACAAATAAAATACTAAAGTCTTTTCAGACTCCATGAGCTTCAATATTAAATGCAGAATCTCTGCTTAGTGAGCCTGTAAATTTTGCCTGATCCAACTTTATGTTCCTTTCACCATTATCCCACATCCTTAGTATCCATTCCCACACAAGTTCCCCAGATTTCTACTTATATAAATTGGAAAATTCAAGTAGTTCTTTTGGAGTTTAGTCCACCTTTTCATGGGTCATACTTTGTACCTCATGTTTAGGGGCCTGTTATGACTTGACTGTAGTTATAAGTCTAGAAGCAAAGAGGGGTGGTGGGATAGTGGGTCCTGAAGAGAGTCAGCAGTGTCTTGGATGGCAAGTGCCTCAGGAGAGGCCATTCATTTCCTCAGGCAATGCAAGGTTACTCCCTTCAGATGGGCACGGAAAGGCCAACATTACTGGGGGTGGAGAGGTTGATATCACTGGGGGCAGGGATGCTCCTGCTACTAGGCATAGGGAGGTCACTTCTACTGGGGATAAGGAGACCACTTCCTTTGAGAATGGGGGAAGGGCTGCTCACACTGGTGGTGAGGAGACTTCTTCCCCTAACACAGAAGTTTCACCAAAATTTAAGGGTTAAATGTCCCCAGCTTCATCCGGGTCTTCCCATACACCTTCATTCCAACTTACAGAATCCCATTCTTCCCCAGCCAATGCCCTCACGTTAACAGTAGACACCCAGCAAGGCTAGGAACTCAGTGCAAGTTGAAATTCAGCAAGAGGCAGAATATGTTTGATTTTCAGCAATCTTATCCCTGTAGCTACAGGAGATAAGGGTCTTCTTTGGGGCACACATAAAAAGCCTTCAAGAGCTTTGAAGAGAGTAGTGGTTCTCCCAGCACGGAGTTTGACATCTGAGAACAGACAGACTGCCTCCTCAAGTGGGTCCCTGACCCCTGAGTAGCCTAACTGGGAGGCACCTCCCAGTAGGGGCCTACTGACACCTCATATGGCTGGATGCCCCTCTGAGACGAAGCTTCCAGAGGAAGGATTAGTCAGCAACATTTACTGTTCTGCAATATTTGCTGTTCTGCAACCTCCACTGGTAATACCCAGGCAAACAGGGTCTGGAGTGGACCTCCAGCAAACTCTAACAGACCTGAAGCTGAGGGTCCTGACTGTTAGAAGGAAAACTAACAAACAGAAAGGACAGTCACACCAAAATTCCATCTGTACATCACCATCATCAAAGACCAAAGGTAGATAAAACCACAAAGATGGGGAGAAACCAGAGCAGAAAAGCTGAAAATTCTAAAAACCAGGGTGCCTCTTCTCCTCCAAAGGAACACAGCTCCTCGCCAGCATCAGAACAAAGCTGGACGGAGAAGGACTTTCACAAGTTGAGAGAAGAAGGCTTCAGACGATCAGTAACAACAAACTTCTCCGAGCTAAAGGAGGATGTTTGAACCCATCGCAAAGAAACTAAAAATCTTGAAAAAAGATTAGATGAATGACTAACTAGAATAAATAGTGTAGAGAAGACCCTAAATGACCTGATGGAGCTGAAAACCATGGCACGAGAACTATGTGATGCATGCACAAGCTTCAGTAGCCAATTTGATCAAGTGGAAGAAATGGTATCAGTGATTGAAGATCAAATGAATGAAATTAAGCTAGAAGAGAAGTTTAGAGAAAAAAGAGTAAAAAGAAATGAACAAAGCCTCCAAGAAATATGGGACTATGAGAAAAGACCAAATCTACGTCTGATTGGTGTGCCTGAAAGCGATGGGGAGAATGAAATCAAGCTGGAAAATGCTCTTCAGGATATCATCCAGGAGAACTTCCCCAACCTAGCAAGGCAGGCCAACATTCAAATTCAGGAAATACAGAGAATGCCACGAAGATACTCCTCAAGAAGAGTAACTCCAAGACACATAATTGTCAGATTCACCAAAGTTGAAATGAAGGAAAAAATGTTAAGGGAAGCCAGAGAGAAAGGTCGGGTTACCCACAAAGGGAAGCCCATCAGACTAACAGCAGATTTCTCAGCAGAAACTCTACAAGCCAGAAGAGAGTGGGCGCCAATATTCAATATTCTTAAAGAAAAGAATTGCAACCCAGAATTTCATATCCAGCCAAACTAAGCTTCATAAGTGAAGGAGAAATAAAATCCTTTACAGACAAGCAAATGCTGAGAGATTTTGTCACCACCAGCCTGACTCAAAAGAGCTCCTGAAGGAAGCACCAAACGTGGAAAGGAACAACTGGTACCAGCCACTGCAAAAACATGCCAAATTGTAAAGACCATCAATGCTAGGAAGAAACTGCATCAACTAACAAGCAAAATAGCCAGCTAACATCATAATGACAGGATCAATTCACACATAACAATATTAACCTTAAATGTAAATGGGCTAAATGCCCCAATTAAAAGACATAGACTGGCAAATTGGATAAAGAGTCAAGAACCATCAGTGTGCTGTATTCAGGAGGCCCATCTCATGTGCAGAGACACACATAGGCTCAAAATAAAGGGATGAAGAAAGATCTACCAAGCAAATGGAAAACAAAAAAAAGCAGGGGTTGCAATCTTAGTCTCTGATAAAACAGACTTTAAACCAACAAAGATCAAAACAGACAAAGAAGGCCACTACAGAATGGTAAAGGGATCAACTCAACAAGAAGACCTAACTATCCTAAATATATAGATACCCAATACAGGAGCACCCAGATTCATAAAGCAAGTCCTTAGAGACCTAAAAAGAGACTTAGACTCCCTCACAATAATAATGAGAGAATTAACCACCACACTGTCAATGTTAGACAGATCAACAAGACAGAAAGTTAACAAGGATATCCAGGAATTGAACTCAGTTCTGCACCAAGCGGACCTAATAGATAACTACAGAATGTTCCACCCCAAATCAACGGAATATACATTCTTCTCAGCAACACATCACACTTATTCCAAAATTGACCACTTAGTTGAAGGTAAAGCACTCCTCAGTAAATGTAAAAGAACAGAAATTATAACAAACTGTCTCTCAGACCACAGGGCAATCAAACTAG